GGTTATAATATATAGCAGTTATAATAAATAACAACAGTTATAATAAAAATAACAGTTCTAATAAATATAACAGTTATAATAAATCACAACAGTTATAATAAATATAACAACAGTTATAATAAATATAACAACAGTTATAATAAATAACAGTTTTAATAAATAACAGTTTTAATAAATATAACAACAGTTATAATAACAGTTATAATAAACATAACAGTTATAATAAATAAGTTATAATAAATATATAAGTTATAATAAATATAACAGTTATAATAAATAACAGTTATAATAAATATAACAACAGTTATAATAAATAACAGTTTTAATAAATATAACAGTTTTAATAAATATAACAACAGTTATAATAACAGTTATAATAAATAAGTTATAATAAATATATAAGTTATAATCAATATAACAGTTACAATAAATAACAGTTATAATAAAAATAACAGTTATAATAAATAACAGTTATAATAAATATAACAACAGTTATAATAAGTTATAATAAATATATAAGTTATAATAAATATAACAGTTATAATAAACAACAGTTATAATAAATAACAGTTTTATTAAATATAACAACAGTTATAATAACTGTCAGAGAGCAGAGTGTTTTTGTGCTGCTCACCTTTTTTCAGCTTGTAGGAGCAAAACCAACAACTTCCTGGATCCAAAGAGACGTTAGTGTCTTCACCAGTTTGGACTAACTGTCATGCAGACGCAGCATGCACGATGAGGGTTGCCAGATAAATGTAAAATGTTTTATTTACCCCCTCCTTTTCTGTGCACATGTTCAACATAATCAACACACGTGTCATGTTAGAACATCTTTACTCTGCGCATGTGACAGTTTAGGTCAGGGCTGTTTAACTAAACTGCTCAGGGGGCACATGAGAGCCAGCAGCAGTTTTACAATGATCAGTTACCTTTTTAAATTTGTTTATTTTATTGGATTGAATCATGAATGCAATAAACAGAACCCAAACCCAGAAACACACCACCACCATAAAACAACAAAAAACGTTTTATTTTTATGAAGTCAATGGCGGGCCAAGCCACCAGTTGTTTAGCCGTTTAAGTCAAATACTATTATTTTAAATCCACAGTACTATAGTTCATAATTTCTTATCTGGCAACCTGACTGACATAGAAACTACAGCGTTTTTGTTTAAACTTGCTCGTTCTTTTGTTTATTACCCCCAATAAACACTGAATAAACAAACATTTCCAGAGGTTGTTCTCGTGTAAACGGGGCCTTACAGCAGTTAGTGCTGGTACCCCGGAGACATCGATGGATTTTAGGACATGACCTTTGAAACGTCCTTCAACGTTAAATCAGGCCACAGGAAGTCGGACTTTACGTGACCGAGCCGGCCTTTTGACGTCTTTAATAGTTTTTACACAATCGCAGTTTAAGTTTGAGGATGTCTGAAGATTTTCCGCAGATGGTTCAGCTCAGTGACAAACTCTTCATACTTTCTATTTCTTGTACAGTTAATACATTAAAACAGACATTTCTGTCTTCTTCCACTTATCATGCACGGGCGCCCAGACTTTATCATCATGGAGCTCCTTTTAAAATGACCAGGTCAAAGTGATCTACCTGAATATTCCCAGTCCAGCCACTTTGATGCTTTTTATTTGTTGGAGTTTTGCTGAAGCTGCAGGATTCAACGACCTTTTCGTCAGCGGTTTTATCTCTTTACATTCCACTTCAATAAACGGTGAACGAGGAGGTTTATTTTATATTACTCTGTTTATTAAGGGACAACATGAGATACAATAGTTGTATAAACAAGATGGACATTTCAGTTTTTAACTGTTAGCAGGCTGTTAGCAGCAACGTTCTCACCACCACACTTTAAATCCCTCTGCTGAGATTTATATTTACACTCTGCAGAAACGTTTCCTCTTCAAACAGGAAGTCGTCGTGTGCTGCACCGTCAGATACTTCAAAATAACTGTAGCTGGACTACAGAGAGCCGGAGTCAGTAAACAAAACAAATCACTAAATATACTTCAAAAGTTACTGTAGATGAGCTACAGAGAGCCGGAGTCCTTATAAAACACACAAACACACACGTGCACGGGTACACAACAGTTACACTTGGAGCTGGCAAAGTTATTCACAGAAATGAAAATATAGAAGTCGGGGTGTTTCCAGACCGTGTGGTTTTACTGACAATGTCCATCCCGTAACAAAATAAAGCATCAGTTTGAAACTCGTCCCTCCACTTGGTTAAAAAAAGTCAAAGTTCTGCCCACAGTCCCACCAGTCTGTGGTTTGGAGTAAAAAATATCCTGCCTCTGCATCGCTGCTGGTCCAGAACAGCAGATTTCAGAAACCCGAGCTACAGAATCGCGCTTCCAACTTCCCAAAGCATCAATGTAACAAACAATTAGAGTAAATGCCCAGAAGGTAAACGATAAACCAAAATAAATCTGAGGTGAGTTCACAGCCTGTAATTTACTTCCTGTTCAGCCGGATCAAGGTTTACATCGTTACACGTTGGCTCGAAGATTTAAAAGGTGATCAAATCTTCAGTTCAACAAATAAATGACGATTACGTTTTAAGTGTTTGTTGGGAATCAAAACGCATCAGATTATTTATTTTAGAGTAAAACATGATTTATAGGGTGAATAAATGTTTTTTTTTTTTTTAACTAGATTTTTGTGGAAAAAAAATCACATTTTTATCTGAATAAACATTAAATTAGCAAGTAGTGTGCATGTTTTTTATGTTTCTCATGTTCCTTTTAGGCCAAAATCATGTTTTATTTAACGTTAACTTGAGATTAACACGTCAAACGCGTGTTTTTTTTTTTAAACTGGATTTTTATAATTGCAGGCTTACACGTGAAAATGTTTTAAATTAACACGGAATACATATTTTACGTTTCCTTTGCAATTTTGTAACATTTTCAACATGTTCACCTGATCGTTCCACATGGATTCACATGTGAAAAACATGTTTAATTCATTGTAAGGTTTGTCTATAATTAGCTGTTTGTTAACATTTATAATGTTTTTTTTAAGCACAATAATAATAATAATGTGTTTGTGTTGTCATGTTCCAATACAATGGTGACAATGACTCTCTGCATTTAACTCATCCACCACCAGGTGGAGCAGTGGGCAGCTATTGGAAGCGCCCAGGGAGCGATTGGGGATAGGGTGTCCTGCTCAGAGACACCAATGACTGGGGATCGAACCTCGGACTTTAAAGCCCCAAATCGGCTGCCCTGCCTCTACCACAAGAAGCCTATATTATAATTTATTTATTTTCTAAAGGGTTCCTGTAGTTGTAGGTTTTCCTGTCGTCCGCGCTGTTCTGCTGGATTTCAAACTGTGTCAATCTTTAAAAGCTAAAACATTATTATAACAAACTCTACCTTAAGGTTTATAGTTGGTTTAAAAAAATGTAAAATTCATAAATGTCTCAACTTTTATGTCGTTAAAGCCCAATTTCCAAGAATAGAGTGGAGAGATGCTAAACGATGGATAATTTATGTTCTGTCGTAAAATTAAAATAAAAGGAAAAATCTAGATTAACTTTAAATTTTAAAAATTTGGTTCCATTGTGCAGACCGCCCAGTAATACTCTCCAAAACGTAAAACGTATCAATCCAATCTTTATAGTTTTTGATAAATGCGCCACTTCCTCTTCATGTATCCAGGATCTCACTAGGCTGCAAGTTTGCCACAAACTGAGGCAACGTTCTCGACAGAGTCTCCAAAATGTCTCGAATTTCCTGCCAATGCTCTCAGTTTCAAGTGGGTCGTAGTGCCTCGCTCTCATGTTGCTGGAATTTTAAACGCATATTAAAAATCTGCAACTGATTTTCTATTAACATTCTCACAAAATGGTTACAAGTGTCTGAAACACGTCTCAAATCAGTCCCAATTTTGTTTCCATGACTCAGAAAGTTTGAGTCAACTTAGGGAGGGTGTGGCACCTGGTGAAACCAAAATTTAGAAAATATATGTACCGAAGTACCTACTTGGTGGGACTCCAGGTTAAAATTGGCATCTTTTCTTGCATTTCTGTGTTGCCAACACTCGCAGCCTAGCAAGATCCAGTCTTTATTAGTGGAGTTTGTTAAACAACTTTTTTAAGATCTCCATCTTCATGAACTAGGGAATTGTAGATGTAGCTGGTTTAGAAGTCCAAAAGCACCAAAGGAGCCCATTAGACAGAGGAAACATGTACAGTCTTTTCCTTTGCTAATGTTAAAACGTATCACAATCAACCTTTAAAAAGAGGTACGAGGAACAAAATGCAACTCAAATCCTTAAAAACCGTTTGGGACAGCTTACGCACAGGTGAGGTACACAATGTCTTTAAGTCTTGACACAGCAGCTGTGGAGATTTGGATCATGGAAACAATGTTGAGTATGCAACAGCTGTGCAGTCAGGTTCTCTTTAAATAGCAAGAAGATAAAAACTTGCTATGCAGGTGTATCAGGTTCTGAGTTTCATTCCTCTGTAAATGCTGGTCTGTCTTCAACCACACCTCACACTCAGGCGACTGTGGAAACTTCTCACATACCATGGCCATTACCAAGTAGAAGTTCTGGTTTGGCTGCACATCGTGTTAGGAATGGGTGCTGTCGTCAGTCTTTGAACAGCCCCAGTTTCCTGAGCGCCTCTCTGCGCGAGTCATTCATGGGCCCCAGTCCACAAAACTGCACTGTTATACCCTGAGGACGGAACATGGAGCTGGGCTTACTACTGTGATCAGAAGACAAGGCCTGAGCGGGGGATTTCGGAGGAGTGTTAATCCCTTGATGGGTGTTTCGATGAGGTCTAGGGGCCGTGGCCGGCGGTGGAAATTTAGGAATTTTAACAGAGCTGCTTGGTGGCGATTTGACCTGCTGGATGGGGTTGATACTCCAGCTCTTTCCTCCAGAGCTGTTGAGCTCAGCAAGTTGTGGCTCTAGTTTAGCAGGTGCTGGGTGGCTCTTGTCAATATGGGAGCTGAGGATGTCGGGAAGATTGGTCCTCGTTGTGGGTGCAGATGCAGGGACAATGACTTTAGTCTTTCCTCCATAGGGGTTAAGCTCTGCAGGGTAAGACAGTGTAGGTGGGAGGTTTTTAGGTTCAGGGCTGGTTGGCTGGGTGATAGGTTCATTCTTTGAGGAAAATGAAGGATGGACAGCAATGGATTTTCCTCCGTAGTTGTTAAACTCCAAATTGGTAACTTCAGAAGGAGGAGGGGAGAGATTGGCAGTTGTTGGAGATGATGGCTTCTCCCGGAAGCTTCTTTCAGCTTGGCCCTTAGGGGGATATGTCGACAAGATCTCAGTTTTTTTGTCACTGTGAAAGTAGCTTGGAGGTGGTATTAAAGCATTTGGTTCTGGCGCGCTGAAGACCCTTTGTGTTGCAGGAGCAACACTGGGCTCTGCGGTTTTGGCTTTGGTATCTACTTTGGGGAGGTCCTGTGAAGTGCCGTCAGTCGTGTGGAATGAGGTGGCCCTCTGCTTGTCCAAGCCCAGCTTAGACAAGGCCTCCATCCTGGATTTGTCTGGTTCAGGGTCTCTAAAAGAAATACGACGAGCCGGAGTGTTTCGATCCGTCTGCTCCGTAAATTGCTGAGAGTTGTCTGGCACTACAGGGTAAGAGGGACCCGATAGGTTTGACAGCATCTGTTCCTGTCTCTCAGGAATGCTTACATTAACCACTGGCCTTTGTTGCTCCTTGTTGCTGTGGAGCACATTGATGTTTGAAGGATAGCGGCTGTGCTTAGCAGAGGTATGAGGAGCAAGTTTCACATGAACGTTTGGCCTGCTGGACTCCGAACTAAGACGACGAAGTAATGTGGAAGGACGCAGATTTGTTGTTCCTTCTCCCTTGTTCTCTGCTATCTTCTGGGCAATCAAGACAGGTGTGGGGACACAACCAGGAGGGTGGTAAGAGGAATGACCATCAGGTGATCCGTAGCTTCCACTTGGTAGGGGAGGGTCATAGTCTGAAGGTAAACTCTCACGTGTAGGCTTTACCTCAAAGTGGCTTTCAGGAGCTTGTAACATATGCTGAAAATCTGGAAGATAAGAGTTGTTGCTTAGAGGATATGTACAAAAATATTTTATTAGATAAAACTACATCAATTTGAGCTACGTATAAAAACCAAAGCTGCACTTCACCTGGGTTGGTGGGGTTGAAGATTGGTTCTTGATTATGAACGTCTGGTTGTTGGTGGACCAGGTCAATTATATCCTGGTGAGACGACACATTGACCCTGCGGTTTGCGCTCAGAACAGGGAGTCCATCAACGTGATTGACAGAGCGCGTGCTGCTTTCAGGGAGCGTCACATGCCCAGGCCTCGGGTTGTCCACCTCCAGACTCTCCTCCAATGATTCGATGGTGTCTTCAAAGAACTGGAGGCACTCCTTCTCCTCCCGGCTCAGAAAGTGCAGCGTGGTGTCTTCCTTTACCGATAAAAAGATTTAAAAACAAGACTGTTGTTAACGGAGGACTTCATCCACCGAGCAAAATAATCTGAATCCATTGAGTCTCTATCAAAGTTGCACGAAACCTCCAAACTTCTTTTCTGTCGGATGGATAATATTGATCATTGGATGGGTAATATTGATTGTTGAATAGATATTGATTATTGCATGGATAATATTAATCGTCAGATGGATAATATTGGTTGTAGGATGGATAATATTGATCATTGGATGACTAATATTGATCATTTGATG